CCTGAACAGAGTAAATTCTCGTTAATGATCTGAACAACTAGTCTTTTACATACTGGGTTTATAAATTCTTAATATTCTGAAATTTTTCTCTCTCAGTTAGAAAAAGCCTCAGATTCTAACCATCAGAAAATAAAGTTTAAGGCCCCGACACACAGCAGTTTTGAGTTGCACTTTTAAACTCACTTCTTAATCCATTTCAGGGTTCCCAATTGTTCCCAGTTAATTCTTCTTACCGAGGGTGTATTACACTTGCTCAGCATTGAATGATATGGAAAGAATGGCCTTTCTTTACTGCATAACTGACTTTACTTTTGTTCACAGGTTAAAATCAGCCCTTCCATTTCACTGCAGTATTATATTGGTGGCATTTTTATTTAAGAAAAAAAGCTTTCTTCCACATGAACTTTTGTTACAAATCAGTTTATTGGGGCCAATCAATGGGCAGGACCTATGAAAGGGTGTGGATTATCTGGTTAGTCCTTTGTGTGGCAAAAGGCTTAGATACTGCTTAGTACTTTGTTCATTCTTCATCATGTAAAGAAGTGTTTTTTTGAAGGATCAACACCTGACTGAGCCCTGCCTTTTTCATGGAAATGTTTTCACCTGAGTTGCTTCTTATGGTACCAAGAATTAGTTAACTAATACTTATTTAACCTTGGAACAATGTTTATCATAATCCGATTGGCAGATAGTCATTTTATTTAGGCCCGTTTCTTTATTGTAGCAGGAACTAGCGAAAGTATTCTGGGAACAATTTTTTTTATCCTTCAAATAAGTTACCAGTCTACTTTTTTTCTTTCCATCAAGGGGCATGTTTCCATGCTGTAGACTTAAGACTAGTAGCCACACATTAATGAGTTGGATTTCCCCTCTTGGGTTGAACTCTACTTTTATTTTTAAAGGCGGCTTTCCTATTACATGCTGCTGGCAGCTTTTCATCCAAACTGTTCTCCAGTATGATTTACTACATTAACACACTCAGAGTTGTTTTTTTCATGATAAAACTTCCTCATGAGCATTACCACTAATTAATAGACAAAATGACCCAGCACAATTTAATTATTTGGTAATGATTTTCGGTGTTTTCTTAAAGATGAGGCTTTACAAGTCAAGGCCTGAACTTGCCTGGGTCATGACCTCTCTGCAGTGTTTGCAGTCTTGTTAAACAAGAAGTAAAGCAAAACATAAATTAGTGTTTCCATTATAAGTTGCTCTACATTTCCCAGTCTTTCAACACTCCAAGGAGCATAGTCATGGTTAATGTAAGAGAAAGTTTCACTTGGAAAATGGCAATTCCAGCTTTCTGGAGTGAGTAAGAAGCTTCTTCCTCAGTGCCGTTCTTCTAGGGCCAATGTGTGGCCCTCCTTGAGAGAAGGCAAGATGAGGGAATTTGAATTATGGGCTATAGAACGTAAGGAGAGATAACAGTTGCCTTTCGTTGTAATAAGCCTCTGTGGCCTTTAGCATCTATTAGCCTTCAGGGATGTGTTCCTAAGTTTACAGATGGAATTTAGTGTTGAATGTTAAAGCACCACTCTTGTGTGACAGTAGAAATGTGTATGTCTTTGTGTGTTTGTAAATACCCCAACTCCCCAATTTTTGTTTTTATTATTTTGCCCTCAGACTTATGTATTTCTGCTCCTTTTGGCTTGGAATATCCTTCCCCTTCATCTTCCTAATAAACCTACTCATTCCTTAAGACTCAGTTCCAGAGAAAGAGCAGATGTTTTTCTGCCACCTGTTCCCTCCCTCTACCATGACGTCCTGTGCATAATACCTCCCACCTGTCCATAATGTATTGTCATTATCTCTCTCTTTTTTTTTTTGAGATTTTATTTATTTGACAGAGAGAGAGCAGGAGGGCACAAGCAGGGGGAGCAGCAGGGGAAGAAGGAGAAGCAGGCCCCTGGCTGAGCACGGAGCCTGACACGGGGCTTGATCCCAGGACCCTGGGATCATGACCTGAGCCGAAGGCAGACGCTTAACTGACTGAGCCACCCAGGAACCCCTATTTTCTCATTTTAACATCCTGAGTTTCTAAGATTCATGAATAGGTTTAATGATTGTATCAAAGGCTTATCTGTGGAGTAAGTGTGTACCATAAGTTTAGTGACGTAGTTTAAAATGCATTCCTCTTCCATTTTCCAAGTAAACTTTTTTTTTTTTTAAAAAATTTTATTTGACAGAAAGAGACACAGCGAGAGAGGGAACACAAACAGGGGGAGTGGGAGAAGGAGAAGCAGGCTTCCCGCGGAGCAGGGAGCCCAATGCGGGGCTCGATCCCAGGACTCTGGGATCATGACCTGAGCTGAAGGCAGACGCTTAACGACTGAGCCACCCAGGCGTCCCCCACATAAACATTTTTTTAAATATGTTTTTCTTCATCAAGAAAAGCAGTATACAGTTTTGGATTCTGGATCTGGCTTCCATTCCTGGATCCACCATATATTAGTTGTTTGACCTTCAACAAATTACTTATATCTGTGAGATTCAATAGCTTCATCAGTAAAGTAGAGATAATACAAGTACTTAATTCTCAGGATTATATGAACATGAAATGAGACGTTGATCTCAAGAGATGCCACTCTGCAAATAGGAGTAAATGGGAGTCTCCATATTGAATGGTGAGCTACCCAGATCCCTTCCCCCATCTAATCCCAGTATGCTGGAAACTAGGCTTTATAGCCTTCAGGAAGAAGATTGGAAGATTCTTCTCTGGGAAAAATGTACACACCCTGACCTTTGAAGGACCCCCAATAATCAGCCAAGTCTTATCTGATCATCCTGTAGTGAAGCCCTCAGACTCAGAGCTTCCAGTCACTAGTTTAACTCTTAAATCTGAATAGTCACCCAGCAATCACCAGATACTTGAGGGAAAGCTCCAGTGAACAAATAGGAAAAAAGGAACTCTGGGGAGACAGGACAAAGCAGAGAACAGAAGAAACCATTATAAAATCTGTAATAGTCACACAAATCTAAAATAAGGTATCATATCCATTAAGTACAATAAAGCATTCAAGAAACAAGAAAGAGCTCTTAGAAATGAAAATATATTATAGAAAGAACTTAATATAAAGGCTGGAAGATAATGTTGATCCTAACCCAAAAAGTATTTGAAAGAGAAAGGTAAAAACCAGGAGTAAAAAAAAAAAAAGAAAGAAAGAAAAGACAAATAGAAAAATCAAAGAAATAATCCAAGATATTTCCTAAAACTGAATCATTTTTCAGTTTGGAAAGGAACCATCTAGCACCAGCAGAAGGAGTAAAGAAAGATTTATCTCAAAGTATGTGATTTTAAAATTACAGAATATAAAGGTAAGGAAAAGGTCCTTTAAAATTAAAAAAAAAAAGTAGAAGCAAAAAGTCAAAATCAGAATAGTATCAGTCTTCTAGCCAGCAGCATTGAAAATTAAAAGACAATAGAGTAATGCCTTCAAAATTCTGGAGGGGAAAATTATTTTTAGCCTTGTTCTGTGCCTAGCTGAACTCTCAAGTATAGAGTGGACAGTATTAATAATGGAATAAAAGCATTTCCAGACATTCAAAGTCTTTATATTTTTACCTCCTGTGCACCCTGTCTCAGGAAGTTATTGAAGTAGGTGCACCATGGAAAAGAGGGAATAAATGAAGACCAGGATGTAGGGGATCTAATAGGAGAGAAGAAAGTTCTAGAACTGCACCTATGCAGCAGCAATCCATTCAGACTCTTTGAGGAATAGAGGACGCCAGGAGGGGGGTGTCTTAAACAAACAAACTTTAAAATTCCCTGACATGTTTGAATGTATTGAAAGGATATATTCATGGTTGTGTTTGGGGATGAACTTGTAATAGGTACCTGGTAACTAAGCAGAGGGTGAAAATGACAGTTATTAACTCTAATAAATATAAAATGTTTCCTAGGAAAGGAAATGTAATAGTATACTACATGGCTTAGCTGTCAATCATACTTATATAATCATGGTAAATACTGAATATAGCTTTATTCAAAGACTATGAAATAACCACACTGGAAGGACAAGAAAAGGGGCACATGGCGAGGGTATGTGAAAAAATTAATATTAAATCCCCATCTTCAGTAATAGGTGGTCAGTAAATAATATTTAAAGCTGAAAACGAAAATCTAAAAATAATGGTGTAACCTTATTATGTAAAGAAAAGGAGGTAAATACAAGAAGAAAAGCTAAGAGTTTAAAATGATTGCCTTTGGAGAGAGGGAATCAGGAATGGTGGCATAGGCCTGCTATAGTTTTTAAACATTTTTTTATGTTTTTGGGTTAAAAATAAAACTGAAATTTTAAAATATTAAATGACACAGTTATGTAAAGCATTTGGCACCATGTCTTTTACAGGTAAGTGTTGCAGAAATGTAAACAATTTTTGTTACCCTACTCCTTTAAAAAAAAAAAAAAGATTTATGTATTTTAGAAAGAGTGCGAGCGGAGGAGCAGAGGGAGAGGGAATCTCAAGCAGACTCCCTGCTGAGAGAGCAGCCTAATGCAGGGCTCGATGCGAGGCTCAGCGCCAGGACCCTGAGATCATGACCTGAGCTGGAACCGAGAGTCAGACACTTAACAGACTACGCCCCCCAGGCGCCCCTACCCTAGTCCTTCTTAAAAGCATTATAAATCTTTGCTAAGTGGGTGATACAGACTTCCCGTTCATTCATTTCCTTTTTTCCAATCCCCACCATACGTACACCATATTGGCCATGAGAAATGAATTAGAGCATATACTTCAGTATCTTTTTATTTGGTTTGTATGTCTCCCTGACTTACTCATCCATTATTTTATTGACGTGAATGACAAGAAGGAGCTGTTGCCTTTCTGAATCCTGTTCTTGATACTTTTCTTTAGATTTTCATGAGGAAAATTCTGAATTTCTTTTCTTTTGCCTAACCATTTGCATTTCTGCAATTAAATAAATGGACATTGTTCAAGCTTACTCTAGGTTCCTAACCAGTCTTATCCTGCATTTTAACACATTTTCTCCCTGTGATCAGGGCCGCAAGCTTCTTATCATTGGGACCACTAGCCGCAAAGATGTCCTTCAGGAAATGGAGATGCTGAACGCTTTCAGCACCACCATCCACGTGCCTAACATTGCTACAGGAGAGCAGCTGTTGGAGGCTCTGGAGGTGAAAATGAGTCAATGGATTGCGAAGTGTCTATTAGAAAGGAGTCGGGGCTGGGAATAATGCTAAGGGGGCGCAGCAGACATTGCACCCGGTGCCTAGTTTCTGTGCTAACCTAGAATAGGGCACCTGGGATATACCTTCAGTTGTTTCAGGAATTCGAGGAAGAGATGAATGTCAGTGAAAGTGAATGAATTTCCCATTCCTTGGTGTAGGCAGCCTGCCGGGAATGAATTACTCTGTGCCCACCAGGAGTGATGCATACAAATTACATGGGCCAGAAACTTGGAATGGGGGAAGGAGAGGGCAGAGTGGTAGAGTAATCAATATGTAGAAAATTCGGTCATTCGTAATAGCTTTCCGCTCATTTACTTGCATTTAATAAATTGGAACGGTGATTAAAACCTTAGAGACCGCAAAAATGCTACGGAAGTAAAAGAAACTGCTTTATTAACAACTTTTGAGGATGGCAAAGTTTAGATTTTTTAAAAACTATAACCTTCGTTAAACTTTTGATTAATATCAATGTACACAAATGACTTGGTGAGATCTGATTGTTTGGCAGTGGTAAAAGCTTCTTAAAATCCTCAAGACCCATGCAGTTGGGGCATACTCCCAACAAAATAGAAATTATCTATATGATTAATGTCTCCAGATTAATTATGTGAGCAGCTCTTGTGCTGAGGTTGGGTAAAGAATTAAATTTAGTCTCTGCTTTGACACATGCTAAAAATTTTTAACTGATATTTATTGTGGGTTGAAGCTTTCTTTTCCCCCCCACCCCCAGCAAACATATCTCTAAATTGTAATGGTGATCTCTAGGAAAACAGGATTTAGGATACCAGTTTTCACTTTCATTAATTGTACCTAATGGGTTTAAGAAGGTCAGGTTGGATTTTAAAATAGGAGAACATCCTGTCAACTTGAACCAGTCAGATAGTTCTTACTACTGTTCTTTTAAGGATAAATGTGAGCATTAACTAATGTTGTTGATGCACTTACTATAAAAGTGTTTTTGTCATTTTTATTGTTTTTGTAGCTTTTGGGCAACTTCAGAGATAAGGAACGTACCACAATTTCACAGCAAGTCAAAGGGAAGAAGGTCTGGATAGGCATCAAGAAGTTACTAATGTTGATCGAGATGTCACTCCAGGTAAGATGTTGCATTCTCCATAGGATTCCGACACAGGAGCTTCGTGACATACCAAGGTTCTATATTTCCTTTGCTAAGGTTTTGTTTTGTTTTAAAGACTTTAAGTAATCTCTACGCCCATCGTGGGGCTTGAACCCACAACCCCGAGATCAAGAGTCGCCTGCTCCACTGACTGAGCCAGCCAGGCGCCCCTCCTTTGCTAAGGTTTTAATTAGTTTGTTATAATTCTCTTACTTCTGAACTCAAGTTGCTATTAGTAGCCTGCTTCTGAGACCAAACAATAACTTACTAGTACTTTTCTTTATCACTTCTTAAAATTCAGAAATAGAAAAAAAGATTATAAAGTTACTTTCAATTTTAATTGAGGGAGTGATTAGATCTTAGAGCTAGAAAGGACCTCAAAGAGGCAGTTGCTCTCCTGTCGTCACCCCCTGCCCCCATTTTAGAGATGAGGATACTGAGTGTCCCACAGGTGGTCAGTGGGTTATCCAGGATCACACAGCCAATTATTGATGGAAGGAAGATGGCGTTGTTTATCAGAGGTCCGGAAGCTGCTGTGCATTACACCAAAAGGGGCCTGGGAGACTGTTCTTAAGGGACCAGTTAATTGAATTGTACAGAGTAGACTTAGGCTCTCTATATTTTCCCCTGGCTGGGCTCCTAGAAATTTCATGCAAACTACTGTAGGGTTAAAGCATCCAGGATCACAGAGAAAACCGAGCCCTAGGCCAGTGCCTGGGCAAAGACAGAGGAAATTTCTCTGGGACTTTCTCACGTCTACTGGCAACTTACCTTTCCTCCTTTGGGGAACTCTACCCCTCCACGTGTCCATCCTATGTCTTTGTATCCTTATCTGACACACTGGTTAGATAATAAATGTATTCCTGCCAAGTTCTGTGAGTTCAGGGACCTTGGCTGTCACTCACTGTTGGAATCCACAGTCCCTGGAACAGAGCTGGACACACAGTAGGGCGCTCAGTGAACTGTAGTCAGGTGGGTCCATCCCAGCTCATTGGTGGACAGACTGGCCTCGCTGTTGGCATTATGTGTCACTGCTCAGTCCTGCCATCCCTGCCCCGTGAGCAGTGGGTGGTAGAAGTGAAGTTTCACGGTTACACCTGAAATAGGCTCTTGGACCAATAACAAATGGAGAACACAAAGTGAATGCTTTTTAATCTTTGCTGGAACATTTATTTTAAAACAAAATTGTGGCTTTCAGAAACCTAAGTTGAATGTATTGAACATTCAGCCGGACTGAAATTTATTTTCCACAATGAATGTAAACTGAAGTTACAGACTAATCACTTTGCTTAGGATTATCCTTGGTAAAGGTGCATATACAGATGTATTAGCTCTTTCCTTCGGAAAAGATAAATCTGTCAAGATAGTCAGCTCTACTCTTCATTTTTTTGGTTTCAGCATAATTTTTTTTCAATAATTGCATAGAAGAAACTATGTGGGCTTTTCACTCCAGTCCCTGCCCCTTCTTCCTTTGATGCCTGCAGGTCAGTGATCAACTTAATGCCTCTCATGTATGTGGGGCAGAAAGTGAGAGTGGGGCACTCAGGCCTAATCTTCAGCGACTGACACTTCATAGGCCTCTGAGTTTGAACCCCTTCTTGTCAAATGGATTTCGTGCAGCTGAGTGAATTCTCTTTAGATCTGCCTGAGAGAGACTGAGCCTAAGTGGAGAGGCATGTAGTTGAGCAAAATATAAGTCATGTTACCTCTCTGTTCACTATACACGATTCTGTTAAAACTTGCTCAGTGCTGAGGATCTGCTCTGACTGGATGTCACCTGAGGGAATAAAGTCATTTATCTAGATTACTTTTTTCCTCCCTTTCTCTTGACTTTTAATTCCATAGCTACAGGCAAGTCAGTAAGTCGTTGCTCACACATATTAAATATATTTAATGGGCAAAGACCTGCAAGTACTGACTACAACTGAGCTCCAGCCAGTTCCATTTTTTTTAAAAGAACTTGACAATTGATTCATATGTAATTCTATTCCCAAAGAGGGAAAATGTTTCTTTTGTTAGCTATTCACACTTTTTCTTAGTCCTTTGTAGTCTGACCTCTTAACTTTGATACATTTGAAACTTCTGTTCAATGTTTTTTTGGGATAGAAGAGAAGAAATCTTAAAAAAAAAAAAATGTGGTGGTGGGGGGAATCCAAGTGCACATTTACCCACAGCTGCACTGACATTTGAAAGCTCTCCCTGGAGGGCAGGGAGTTCCCTCTTGGGAAACAGACTCCTGCCCTGGAACATTTTTTAAAAGTTAGGTATGTTTCTTACAATAAAAATTCATCTTAAGGAATTAAAGATGTTTTTAATGATCATTTTTTAGATAACTTAACATCTCTGGTGGACCAATGAGAACAAAATATAATTAAATTAGTATAAACATGAATATAAAGGAAAATGAATAGAGAAAATTAGTAATATCCTAAACTTGGCCTCTGAACCAAAATTCCCCTATCTTCTCCTAGACTTAGGATGCTTTTTTTTTTTTTAAGATTTTAGTTTTAAGTAATCTCTACACCCAGTGTGGGACTCAAACCCACAACCCCGAGATCAAGAATCACATGCTCCACTGCCTGAGCCAGTCAGGCTCCCCTATCCTGATGCTTTTCTGTCACAGGAGATCCAGATTATCCAGGGGCCATGTTAGGGGAGTCAGCCCCACTCTTCATTTTTTTACTTTCAGCACCATTTTTTTCATTAATTGCAAAGAAGAAACTGCATGGAAGACCAAGGCTGAGAAAAGCAAATATGTTGATCATGAAGAGTTAATAAGCTACTTTTTAGTCATTTAATCAACCTCAACTGGTTTAAGTTTGGTCTCACTTTTATATGTTGGATGAGTCCTATGACTTGGATGCCCTTCAAACCCCCGTGAATAGCCATCGTCTGGTCTCACATGTGTCCTCTCAGACGTGCTGCCTCCTCACACAGCGCTAGCTGAGGGGGCATTCGCCTTGAGGTGCCTGGGAATGACCACCTGGGTCACTTGGAACCTCGTGCACAGTGATTCTCTGTGCTAGGAGGTCCTGTTCACTCCTTTTGAATGATGTAATCTGCTTTGCTGTGTATCAGAATACTGGTCAGGGAGCAGGTAACGTATTTCTGTGACTCAGCGGAGCACTGGTGGAAGTATGAAACCGAGCATTTCCTTGGCACTAAGTGCATAGTTATTAGAAGGTACCATTAACCTGTGTTCTTTATTTCTTCTGATGTATTTAGATGGATCCTGAATACCGTGTGAGAAAATTCTTGGCCCTCTTAGGAGAAGAAGGAGCGTAAGTACACACAGCACTTAAGACCACCAGCCAGACTTACCACACTCTGTTAAATCCCAGTACCTGTTCTAAGCGTTGCTGTACAGTGCATATACATTTGAATTCTCAACTTTTCTTGGACAACTTTGTTTCCATTTCTTAGCATTCTTCACTGTGTTGTAGGTCTGAGAGACCAAGCAAGGAAATTGGTTGTACTGTTGGTTTGCTCTCCTTGTCCTGCTTCGCAAAACTTCCTTGTCACAATGCAGGAAAAAACTCGATGGTACATATTTATTGGAAGCTGCTTTTAAATGCATGGGGCTATGACCATTTTCTTTTTTGAAATGCTTATCTAATAGCAAATGCATAGTAAAAAATGTAGAAAAACCATTAAGAAGCTTTTAGTGATTTTGTGGTAAATGGTTTTTTGCAGACCCTCATCTGCTTCTTTTTGTTTTGGGTGTTTCTTTTTCAGTAGCCCCCTGGACTTTGAAAATGGACTCTTTGCACACACACAGTGACCAAGGGAAGTGACCAAGGTGAAGACGGCCTGGGATCTTCACTCAACTTACTCAAGATCCTAGACAAAGTGAAATGTTCCCTACCTTCAACGTGTGCTCACTGCATGATTAGTGCAATAAAACTCCCTTCCTTGTGCTTACTCAGATACTCTGTTTTGTGGAAGGTACAGATTTGCTCTAGAATGCTATGCTTACCTCTCTGTGCAAGCTAGGATGATTTCTTCTTCCTCAGTCTTGAAGTGTGGGAGATACACTGCCCTTGTGAACACTACACATTTTAAGCTCCCTACCACCATCACCACCCAAAAACTCTGAATAAATGTAATGATGTTGCAAGACAACACTTGGCCTGTTAGAAGGAAGACTTTCTAGATGTAAACCAGGAGCAGTGACTTAGAGGTATGGGTTCAGAGGGATTATATATATCTTACAGCTCCTCTCCGCTAACACTAAAGGTACTTGGGTATTTGGTTAAAGGTTCTCCCAGAAAACTGGTGGTTATCTTTGCCTGAAGAAACAGGACTTTGAATTTCTAAGTTGCTGTTCTCAGTCATTTTCAGAGATGTTTCCAAGTTGCAGTCGGAGATCTTTCTATTATAGAAAGTGCAACTATTACTCTGTTGGCCATGGCATCCCCTCAGTGTTACTCATTTGCTCCATGGCAGGAGATGTGCTGGCCACTACCACATGGTAGCTGTTGTTAACGACTTGGGAAAGACCTGTATGGAAAAAGCCCACACCCCTAAACAGAAAGGAGTCATTAAAATGAAGTCATTTACAAATCTCTCTGCACTCATTAGTGTCCAACTCTAAATGGGACAATTCTTTATATTAAAGGCTTCTTATTAGTATCTCCATTTGTCGTTTTCCTCATCTTAATGACTTAGAATTTATTCTCCTTTATTTTAAACCCTCTGTGCTATCTAGCATTGAAATAAAACACTATTCTCCAGAAGACACTGTTTTCTAGCCCTCATCCTGAGTCTTTTAACATCCATTCCAGTATGTTTTAACACACTTCCTTTCCCCTCCACATGCTCTTTCCAAAGGGAAGGAGAACCGGTGGTTAGTCTTATACCTGAGTCAGAAGGAATGAATCAGGTCATCATATCTGTGATGAGACTTACAGAGCAAGTCAACTGTCTCCACCCCCACCATCTTCCCCCCCGCCCACCTCCCCGTGGCTTCAAATGCAGGGATGAGCAGTCAGCAGCCACCTGAAGGTGCTTCACGCCGCCCATGAGGCTTGTGGCCACAGTGGCACTTGGGTGTAGCTGTCATTTGTCCCTGTGGTAGAAGGCAAATTATCTCCAGATCCTGCCATCTGTATCTGTATATTTTTGGTTGACTTCTGTGTCATATCTACTTCATTTTGGGTTTTCATCCCTAGCTTATTTTGTGGCTTTTTAAAGTGGATTTTGTATTGTATAATTCTGTGATCCCTGATGGCCAGTACCCCGGGTCCCCTATCTGTTGCGCAGCTTGCCTCTTTTCTCCTCCCAGGAAAGCAACACACACTGTATTAAGTTATGGCTCTCGTTAAATGAGGTTCATGTCTTTTGTGTTTTGTCCAAAACTATATTGAAAAATATATATTGTTTCTTGCAAATGAAGGAATGCAATAAAGAGTATCTATACTCGAAAACATTCTGTGGACCATGTTTTGTACAAAACGACACACATAACTGATAGGAATGTGTGAAGAGGAGGGGGCTCAGAAAAGCCCCTCCTTGTTTTGTTATAACTAGCCTAAGGCGATGGAGGATTTTTATTTAAAAGTCTCTGGTTTTCATTATTTAGGAAGTATAGTCACTTGAAAAGAGAAATCTCAAGAGTTAATGCACAACAAGAACCTTCATGCTTATTTACTTATTTCCACCTTATTAAAAAACCGAAGCAGACCAAAGCCATAAATGGGTTAGTAATAATCCAGAAAGGAAAATTGTTTCTCAATTAGAATTACTCCTTTGAAATGTACAAACCAAGGGGGATTCAGACACTCTCAGTGGGATTTCTTCACATGTTTCATTTTGGAATCCTTTTTTGCATTTTTCTGAGCTGTTGGATCTCTTAGCCTAAAAGCCTGATGCTTGGAGTGGGGTGAGGTGAGGAGGAAAGGCAGCTCAGAGAATCAGCAAGGCTCAGTGCAAAGAGGTCAGCTCCCTGGGAGTTGTCCACACCTAGGAGGACCCCGAGGCCACCCAGGTCCCTGCACAACCTTGGGAAGGTAGGGTCCTGAAGCTATCCCAGTGCTCTTCAAAGCTGCCCTGGGCAGAGAGTGAGCGAGCATATGACGACATCACAAGCCTAGTGACAAAGCAAAGGAGGCCAGCCAGCCAGTTGCTGCTTTAGATTTCTTCATATATGGATGCACCGTGAACAGGCTAGTTTTTGTCAGCAGATACAATTAAAACCTCAGAAAAGGAGGTTATCTCATCCTACATGTATTTGTACATCTTCACTGAAATACCTTCAAAACTATGTAACAGAGGGGACGCCTGGGTGGCTCTGTCGGTTGAGCATCTGCCTTCAGCTCAGGTCATGATCTCAGGGTCCTGGGATCGAGCCCTGCATCGGGCTCCCTGCTCAGTGGGGAGTCTGCTTCTCCCCCTCCCTCTGCCCCTCCCCCTGCTCAGTCTCTCTCTCTCCCTCAAATAAAATCCTTAAATATATATATATACAGAAAAACTATAATGGTGGCTAAAATCTGAAACATGGTTTGCTTTTAAGGCTGTCTTTTCATGTCCTAAAAATTACAGTGAACTGCCTCTGCTTTAAGTTTCAGCAGCAAGTCATAGAGTAGATTCGAGTGTGTAATAATCAAATCCTGGTAAACAGACTTATTGAAGCACTGAGTCAGCGATAAACAACCAACCCAGCCCAAGCACAGAAGGCCAAAGCAAGATTTCCTGTTCCTTGCCTGGCCACTTGATTCATAAGCCTCTTCAAAGAAGACACCAGGGAAGGTGTGGATGAAAGTTCAAAAAAGCGTGTAAATTTCAGAAGTTATTGCAAAATGATCTAAAGTTTCTCCTCTGCTGGGAAGCAGTGCTGAGACCAGGCCCTGGAGCAGAGCCCACAGAGGGCGTGTGCTGTGCGGACATTCAGGCATGACGATGCTCTACCGAGTATCTGTGATGGGCAAGAATCTCAAGCCGTGTAGACAGCATTTGCAAGGAGGACTTGAGTTTGAATTTTACCCCGCATACAGTCTCTCCACACAACTGACTTTGTCACACTCTCTTGGGAGTATCAGATTATCGGTAAGGTAATTCTTTGCCTCCTCAAGAGTTCTCTGTCAAGCTAAGAAAAACGACAGCATAACCACCATCATTTTGCTACATTAACTTCCCTTGTGTGTGTGTGTCGATCAGCCACAGCTTACATGTCCGTCCATATACCCAGGGCCGGCATGGATGTACCACTGGATCACTGGATCCCATCACTGGATCCACCTAGGATCACCTCCCCATCATCCCTCCCCCTGCCTTTCTCTGCCTTTCCTTTGCCTTTATTTGTCCCCCCACCCCCAGCCTTTCTCCCCTGCTTTTTTCATAAATTACCGCTTTGAAAGAGATCTTCCCACTATATTGTCTCTTTTCTTTCTTTTGGATCTTTTTTTTTTTAAATTTCCACTTGTTTTTAGATGTTTATTAGTATTTATACTTATGGAGAAATTGAATGTTCAAGCACTGCAATAAACTGTGTTCTCTTTAATCATAGAATATGATTAATCATAGAAAGGATTACAAATGGCCTTGGTAAGTATGAATAGGGACCATTTAAATGTTTGGCAATCTTATAGGTTAAAAAAAAAAAAGGTACCCAGGATGCTGGGGGAGATGAGTATTAATTTTATGTCAGAGTGAAGTACAAGATGAGCAGGGCTGTGAGAAACGAGAGATTTCTGTCTGCGCTCCACGTCCAGTTCCTTGCGTGGCCCAGCACAACCATTTTTGTGGCTTACGCCTTTCAGGGACTAAGTAACGACACATCACGGGCACAATAAAGTTCAAGAACTTCTAGTGGCCATTCCTAATCTCAGGTTAGAGGTCTTGAATGGAGCACAAGGGCAGCCCATCGCCAGTGCACAAGGCAGACCGCTTTATTTTTATGTTGTTTTCGTCTCTGCAAGGAGATGAATAAGATTTGCTTCTAATAAAAGTAAATCGGGAGAAAGAGAAAAGGAAAGCATTTTAGCTATGCTACACAAACTGAAGGTGACGTTTTATGGGTATGTCTGAAGACCAAAGGATTGTCTGTCGTCATAAAACCGAATCATTGCCCCTCATCGTCGAGAGCATTGCTTGTGAGCTTCAGGTGAGTCCTTCTGAAGCAGCAGTCCAAGGAGAAAATGCCCTTCCCAGAGCGTGCCCACTGCTGGGTCCTCTCTGCCCAGCCTCCAACTTCAGATGATACCTGTTCTAGGCCACCCAGAGGCCAGGCCAAACCATTTCTTCTTCCCGACCAACCTACCCCTCCCATAGCTGCGCTAGCTGGAGGGGAAGCCATTTCCAGTCAGGTTTCATTTTCAATAGAGCAAATCCTATTTTCCCAATAAATGGAGTTGCAAACATGGGTGAGGAAAGGATTAACCAACCCCGTGGGCTGCTGGCCTTGAGCCACATCTTTTGAGTGTCTGTGATACTCATTTGTGCAGTGAAGTACTAGAGTCTATGAAAGGAATTACAGCACAAACCGCTTACTTCCAAACCTAGGAATTATTGGTCAGATGTTGACTTAGAACAAGGTAAGCCTGTAAGAAAGTCCTACAGTAGATGAGACCCGATGTCCCTGATGTCTGAGATGATCCTGCTTAGAGAACAGAGGGAATGGCTTTACTTTGGGCCACTCAATTAAGGGTGCAAGTTCAGGCCACCACCTTCAGAAATTGGATATTCTTGACCTCCTGAGCATTAATCTGGAAACTCCACACATGGTACAATGTATCCATTTTAAGTTTGTTTACCTTCTCTTTAATGACTTAACAGAAAAAAACTGCATGATGAAATATATTTTCTCCAAATATATATATATTTATATAATATATAATCTTAGTTAACTCAAAGGTATATACATTGTATAATAAATAATATTTATAAAAAGAGACTTTTTGAATATAAAATCAAAAAGATCAACAACTTCTACAACTTTTTACAAAACTTTGGATACAGCAGATCGGTAGGAAATTTCTGTTGGATACTATTACCTGACTACGGCGAGAATAATTACAATGCGCTCAGTGTACTATTATTAAATAATTACTTGTCGGCTACTTGAATACGCCCCAGAAACATGACTTTATCACTTTTAATATAGAATACATAGATATGAAAAGACTGTTCTGAAAATTTGTATCCATTCTGCTGAAATAATTCTCACATAAAGCAAGCATTATCCGGTTGACATGATTGAAACTTTTCAGTCTAAGGTGAGATGGGGAGGGGCATTTCGGACTCTCTGGAGAGGGGGATGGGATGTGTATCTTTAGCCGGGCTCGTTACCAGCAGAATCAAGAGTGCAGGCATGGCTTCTGGATGGTCTTGGCAAGCCTGCCTGAACAAGCAGGAAGATCACTTGCCCCGGCAGCTGAGGTCAGTGTGAGGCCAACCAAAGAGCGAAGGGAGTAAAGGAAGAAACAACCTTGTTCTCGTCTCTACCCCAGCCGCCTCTCTTCTTGCTGATTCTCCCTAGGACAGAGCTGTGGCCTTGGCTCGTGCCGTCCGATCTGCTGGCCTCCGTTCAGGACCCTCGAGATGACCCGCATGGAGCAAGGGGAGCTCAGCTGGGTGAGGCTGCTTGTCCCCCTTCGAACACCTCCTCCTGAACCTTGGGAACTGCGTGGACTGGCGTGCTCTCTGCACACAGGTGCGGCTGGCAGGTGTGTGTTAAAGAACGCTGCGTTTCTCTTTCACCCGCATAGGCCAAAGCAGGGAAAGGAGGCTGGAAGGTGTGTCTTTATCGGAGCGGAAACGAAGGAACCGTTTTTATCCTCCCTAGCTACAAGTCACCAAGTTGGAACTTCAGGAATCGACCACTGCTCTCTCTCTGACCCTTTGTCTGATTTCTACCGAGGTAACCTGAACTCCAAACTGCTCTACCTGGAGTTGTTTTCGTGGGGAATCGGCAGGTGAGCAGGGCCAGGAGGGACTGAATGGCCCCTTCTAAAGATACCACTTCTCTCTTTAGGAAACCATTGGAGCTGCAGAAGGCTCACCACCCCTAAACATAACCTATTTACATCGTTTCGTCCTCTTAAAAAACAAAAACAAGCCAAAACACCCCGCACTGCATTCCTGGTAGACACCAGAGAAGGGCAACAGAGACTGGGAGCTCTGACTGCAGTTCCTAAGAGCCTCTGGCGCAGAACAGGCTGACAGAGGAAACGGGACTGAGAAGAACACACAGCCGCTCTTCAAAAAGCTTCCCAGGCCGCCTAGCGCTCCTGGTTCTTCAAAACCCCCAATCCTAGTCCCACAATTGCCTTGGGACTCCCTCCCACTGGATCCTAGCTACACCTATGGCTTTTGTCCGAATGTGGAAGTCTATCAGATTTGAGCAGGAGGAGACCAAGAAAAAGAGACTGCAGGGGTCTGTCCTACTTCCTAACTCCCACCTCACAGGCATCTTGGCATGTCACCAGAAGAAGCGTCTGGAAACAATCCTGCCCATGCTGAGTTCTTCACCACCAGGCAGAGAGCTCACGGCAGCCCAGCCTGTTCTGTCGGAGTAGAATTTTTTTTTCCATTTTTATTTTCTTTAACATGTGCAAAGATAAGCCTGGGGTCTGTTCCTATCAGACCCTAGAGAACTAAAAAGAAAGCCCCTTCTTTAAAAACCACACACCATCCAGAGCAGGGTGAGAAACTTAAGAGAGAGGGCGAGGGAGGCCTCCCCGGCAGCGGGCGGCTCGGGTCCAGGTCATTTACCGCACGGGCGTCTGGCAACAGTCCGGGTTCCTTGCTGCCTGGTGCTGAGCGCTGAGCCCGGCTCCAGGTCCTGCTTCCCATGGGACTTCGGTGAATCTGCCCAGCCACACACTTCACCTGTTCCCAGTGCCCTTTGGAAAACAAAGAGGAAGAATCGGACACGTAATTCCCTTCTCAGAGGAATCGCCCGTTGGGGTGCCGTGATCAGAGGCTGTGGACGGGAGAGCTCGACGTTTCTCGTGTCCTTGGGGGCAATGGGGAACCCAAGTGGCTTTCCCGTACCCCCCTCCTCTGCTTTGGGGTCTGCCGCTGAGGAAGGGCGCGTGATTTAAACAGGAACAGGAGGGCTTTAGAAACCACAGACTGGGATCCACACCCTACCTGCCCCACCTTCTAGCTGGGAGCTTGGGCAGCAGGAAGGCCAGTGGTGGGCAGCTGCCCCCAGGCAGGAGTCCCCCTAGTAGAGAGACTGAAGGACCCTCCGGTCCAGGGTCCCGTTCCCTATGAGACTAGACGCGGGCACTGTGCTTTTCTGTCGCACCAGCGGTTTGGTAATGAGCTGTCCACACAGGAGCACAGCTATTTAATGAACCATGAATAATTCCTTCTCAGGGGAGAACCAATATGTACCTCTTACTCATTTGTGTATTGACATCTCACCGAGGACTTGAGGCCCAAAGTGCTTTCAAGGGCATTCCCGATCAACCTTCCATTCCCCAGGGGGTGGACAGGGCCAGTGGAAGACTATTTTACAGGGGCAGAAACCGAGCCTCAGCAAGATTAAAGGGACATGTCCAAGGTTTTGTGGCAAGTTAGTGACAGATCCAGCACTTGGGGCCAGCCAGGCCCCCTGACTCTTGTCCAGAGAGAGCCCTTTCCAGCTTACTATATTCGCAACATCTGAGTAACAAGAAATGCACCTGGTACTTGCAGGGTAGGCAATTGGTCGTCAGCCTGAGACACTGGACAGAAGCTACAGGCAATGGAAAAGATGTTTTCCCCACCAGGGAAGGACCAGGAATCTCTGGTCTTCCTGTGGCATAAAGCCACTTAGACTGGGGCTCCCCACCCAGTGTGTGGAGGGCATATGTTCCTGCCATCCTGTCTCGAAGGTTCCTATCTTGCCTGCAGTGTCAGTGTCGATGAAAGGAGGGGGGCTAACCAGTCAGGTCTCAGCCAATCTTGGGCCTGTGGCTCGAGACCACGCAGCACGCCCAAGGAACGTCCCTCTGGTAGGTCAGCTCTGCTCAGCCTGGGAATCTTTGCTACTTCCTTGGACCATGAGCCAGGCCCAGCACTGGGGCTCTTGGTGTATACAGCCTGTGGTCCACACAACAACCCCCCCCCCCAGTTCACAAATGAGGGAACCGGGGCACAGAGAGGCTCCACAGCTTGCCCCAAATTAAGCAAATTGAGAATTTGTCCGAAGGGTACCACATTGAGAGAGAGTCCTACACTTGTCCCAGAGCAAGGGCTCCAGAGCGACCAGAGGGGAGGGTCTTGAGGGCACTGGTCTACCTAGACATGGCATTTTGAATCCATACCTGTGTAGCACCTTCTGTAAGATTGGAGAAAACACCATTCTACTTCAGAAATGGGAGAAAAGAGTGCTGAAGATGTATTAATGCCTCTTAGGATCAATACTATTATAGGGGTGGCAGGCAGGGGATTTTCTGGGCACTGAGGGTCAAACCAGCACCTCCTTCCCTGCTTGGCTGATGGCTTATCTTGGTGGCCCACCTGGGGAGGGGAGGTGCTAGAACACCGCTGGGGTCCAACTCGGTGACACCTCAGAGCCCCCCAGAGCCACTGCTGCTGGAGCCTCTGCAGGACCCGCCTGGAAGCTTTCTGGAGGCAGAAAGTGTCCTGGGCTCAGTGTCCCTACCCTAGCAATGGGTCTGCTGTTAGTGTTCTGAAGTTCTGATTTCCCCTCAGCTCCCCCTCAGAATGGCCAGAGCTATGTCCTGCTTGGGGCACCATGTTGCCTTGGCCACAGTGGGCATGCTACAGTGAGCCTGTGAGCTCTTTCGTGTTCACGGACTTTTCTACCACTGTGAGAAGCAGGAAACGAAACTTGCCCACGCGATGACACCATCTCACTACGGGATGACACCCTCATGTCACGGCTCTCTGATGGCAGTTATCACTCCCTGTTAGTATCAGATTCAGACAAGCATTCGCCGCTGGTAGCTCACTGGGGCCTTATAAAACTCCTGTTAGGCTCCCACCAGCACTGTACGGATGAGGAAACTGGACTTGGGGCTTCCAGGCTGACCTGGCGCCACCTGCGTCCTCTCTCCATGGGCCACACTGCGCCCGTTCAGACACCAAGAAAGCGGTGCTGCCTGCTGCCTTTCCGGACCCCGTCCCTGGCAGGTCATAGCTTGGGCTATACCGAGGGGCCTCCCAGATGGACTCACGCAGAGCTCTCCCCATGATGTGGGTTCCTCCACACCTCAGAGAGGCCCCAGGCCCCTCCCCCAGGCCCACACAGTGTAGATGGGTGCCACCAGCTCGGAGGTGCCCTCTGTGGAGCTGTGTCACCCAGTGGGGTGCTCTCCCCTGCACTGTCCCGGGGCGATGATTCAGGCAGGTAAGTTCTTCGCAATGAACCAAGCACTGTCCCCAGAGCACCTCTGGGGAGGATGATAGATAAGGAGGCAGATCTATAAAAACTCTCTTGTCTGGGGCCCCCCAGCTGGCAGGTGATGGCAGCTGGACCAGGGCTCACGCCTCTATATACTAGGCTCCTTCTCAGGGCAGAGAAAAGGGAGAGAGGGCATAGTGGTCTCAGACCTTCCAGCCCCAAGACTCTAGGACCATCTTACATCTGTCCTGACCTATGCTGGGGACCAATGGCTCCAAGGGCCAGGCACTGTGTCTCCCACGCAGGCCACCTCTGGGAAGCTTGGGAACATAATCCACCAGCCTTTGATCCCTTGATTACTCACCACCATCACTCTGAACTTGAATCCCTCCTCCTTCCCATCCCCTTCCATAAACTCGGTGAGAGTGGCCCTGCTCCACCCAAGCTTCAGATCTGTCAGGATATGGGCTTATATACCGCTTCCCCCACCCACCTCCTCAAGGTCAGTAGGATTTATGCTTGTGCAAAAACCTGCCCTCAAAGTTCAAGGTGGATGCAAAATGACTCTGCCCCAGGGGTAAAAGAGGATCTTTGGCCTACTATTTCAACTATTTTACCCCCCTTGTTTTATGGTAAGAAAACTGAGGCCCATGGAAGTGAAAGAACAGGAAATTGGGGACTTCATGGAACAGGGCAAAGTTGGGACCAGAAGTCAGGTGTCCTGGCTTCCAGCCCCACAGTGTCCTTCCTCTGGCTCCCCAGATGCTCAGCAATGATAGCCAGTGGCCATGCAAACATCTGACCTGGCTCATAATTTACTAACTTGTATACAAATATTAATCAGTTGCTGGCAGTCTTGCATGCACACACTTGGCTGGTATCTGTGCTTTGTGTAGTCCACCCAAAGCTGCCCAGGGACCATTCCCACTGCAGCTGGGGAAATCCTGGCTTCCTATTTTGGGCCGTGTGTCTTGGACAGCTCAGAAAGAGAAGTGGGTTGGTCAAGAAGAGGAGCCAGGCAAAACCAGGTCCCTGTCCCAAGGCCCCGCAGCCGCCCCCGGCCCACCACCCTACCTGGCTCCCTACTTGCAGGTGTGCACATCGTAGATGCGGATGCACTCCTGGCAGCTCACGTAGCAGCACCAGTGGAAGATGCAGTGGCATTTCTCCTTCCGCTTCTCCGTCCTCGTGTTGTGGCCGCGGCCACAGCACAGCAGGTCGCAGCCATCGATGCCGTGGGAAGTGACATTGCAAGTCCGGTCCCTGGTGCCAAAGGAGCCCGTCTCAGGGTTGGGCTCGCAGAAGTTGGGGGAGTTCTCGTAGTAGACCAGGTCCCTCTCGGTGGGCGGCTTGAACAGCGCGTACTTGGCGCGGAGGGTCTCCACCCAGCCGCGGGATTCGCGGTGCTTCTCCACCACCATCTCCGAGGCACTGTCGTACTTGTCCTTGAGAAAGTCGCCGATAGCGCGGAAGTCGGGTTGGGCCCACCAGCAGGTCTTGACCTCACAGCTGCCGGACAGCCCATGGCACTTGCATTTGAGGTGCATGTGGTCCAGGATGGTCTGGGGAAGAGGAGAAGCAGCTGGCCCCCAGCACGACCCCACCTAGGCCCTCCCGCTCTGCCCCCCGCCCACCCCATCCCTGGAGCCTTCTCTACTCCTACTGGGGGTCAGGAAGAGAACGGATTGGGGGCTGAGGTGTGGACCTAAAGACTGATGACCATGGTTTCCCTCCCCTGCACAGCCCAAGCATTGGCAGAAATCACAGCCATTTCTCAAAGCTGTAGGAGATAGGGAGGGTGATCCCCGTTTAACAGATGGGGAAGCTGAGACCAGGAGCTTAAGTGACTCGCCCTAGGTCAAACAACCAGAGGAAGCCGTGGAGGCTGAATTCAAAGTCAGGCCGACCGGTCTTCGCGGCCCTGTCCAGGGCAGCCCAAGTGCACTGGATGGGCTGGCGGGTACCTGCTCCATGGGGCCCCTCACTCCCGAGCTGACGCATCCCCAGGCGGGCGCAGATGGGGAACAGCCCCGGGAGAATGGGTGAACAGAAGGGGTGATTGTGGGGTGTGGGTGGGGGCCAAGCTCCGCCAAGGGGAAAGAGGAGAGCAGGGAGCCCGGGATGCACAAGGGCCACCAGAAGGGCAGGGTGGGGCGGGGGCGAGGCCAGCCGGGAGGGACGGTCCCCGAAGGGGTACCGGGCGGGGTCGGGCGAGGGCGGCCGCAGCTCACCGTGCGGCCCGCCTCGTTGTTGTGCTTGTTCATGGCCGAGCGCGCGTCCGGCCTGTTCTCGCGCGCGTCCGCGAACTCCCGCGACACGAGCACCCCGAAGTCGGCGTCCTCGCTGCAGCCGCCCCACTTCCAGCCTTCGCCAGGTGGCCCCTTGTGGTGCGAGTCGCAGCCGCAGATGGTGGAGGTGCCCTCGGCACAGGAGCGCGTGACGGCGAAGGCCACGCCAGCAGAGGCGATGGCGTGCACGAAGGCCGACTCGCGGGTGGCTGCGGGGAGGGCATGGCTCAGGCCGGGTCCTGGGGCGCAGCCGCCCTGCCTCGACCTCCCCAGCCGGGAAGAAGGGCTCGCCAGCCCTGAGAAAGAGGGAGGAACCAAGGTGCCCTTCCAACCCCCTTTGGCCCAGCCTCTGAGGTATCCCCACTTTACAGATGGGCAAACTGAGGCCCAGGGCAGCTAACTGATTAACCCAGGGCCTCAACACCTGGTACAGGGCAGAGCCGAGCTGTTAGAAGCAGGGGCAGAAACTGTAGCTCTGGCAGGTTGCTGAAGAGATGTGGTCGTCCTGCTCTGTCCTGGCCCCGGGCCCCCTACCCTCCATCTGCCCAAGCTCCACATACTGCAGCACAGGCGTGAGCCCTCCCACTGCTGAGAGAGCCTGAGGCCTGAGGGAGGGAAGCCTGGGAACCTACTGCCTAAACTACCCAAGTCCACCCCATCCCCCACCTAGATGCACTTGGGCAGACCCCTTCCTTTTCTGAGTCTCAGTTACCCTCTTTGTAAAACGGGTATAACTTCCCTCTGCCACCAGAGTTCCTGACCAGGAGGGCAGTGGCCCGAGTCCCAAACCCTCTCCCTGCCACCACGGGAAGGATCGGAACACAGGGCAGGATCCCTTGAAGGAAAAGGAGAACTTCTCAGGGGTGTCCCCCAACCTCATGATCCTGATAACCACGTTTGAGCGCTCAGTATGCACCAGATTCTGCCCTTCATATTCTTGATCTCATTTAATCCTCTTAGCTAGGAGGCAGAAAGTCTTAATTTAGGCCCATTTTACAGATGCAGACATTGAGGGTTAGAAGGCCAAGGCCTGGTATGGTGATTAACATAACAATAAAAAATTATTAAAAAAAAAAAAAGGCCAAGGCCTGGGAGACCTGCAGTCCAACCACCTCTCTCCGGACAGGCGAGGAACCTAGAGCGGCAGGTGACCTGCCCAAGGCCACGCAGGCCGGCCTAGAAGCCGGGGCTCCCATCCCGAGTACTGAGATCGATCGCGGCCCGGCACCCAAGCGGGAGGCCTGAGAGCCTCGGAGGAGGAGCTGCCCGTCCCGCTTCCACGGACAGCCCCGCCGGCGCACCGAGCCCGCGGGCGGCCAAGGCCCCGGCCCCCCCCCACCCCCCCGGCCCCCTCTCCTCGCCCGCGTTCCGGCTCCCGCCCTCCCCTGGGCGCCCGGGGGCGGTGGCGCCGAGGGCCAGCGCCTCGCTTCCGGCCGGGCCAGCGGCCTCTCGCGGCGGCGGCGGCGCCCGGGCCCCGGGCCGCGCTCGGTTCCCAGCCCCGGGGACGCGGGGGCGGCGGGGGCGGGGCGGGGATTAGCCTGGGAGCGGCGCTGACAGCCCCGCTGTGCCGGTACCCGTCCGGCGGGGCCCGCTGGGCCGCTCAATCCGCCTTTGTTCGCGCGGTGTCACACCGCATTACCCGCATAATGCGGCCGCCGGGCCCGGGCCGCCGGGCCGGTCGCCACCGCGTAGCAACGGGCGGCTCCCGCGGCCGGGCCGCGCCCCCGGCCCCGGCGCCGGCCCGCGAAATCCCCATTGAAGCGGCGCCCCCCGCCCCCGCGCCGCGCCGAATGGCCAGAGGGCGTGTGAATGGCGCGGCGGCCGCAGCGGGCGCGGGGCCGGGCCGCGCGGTGGGGGGGCGGCGCTCGGGCCCCTTTCAAGCCGCCTAAGCCCCTCCGGGCCGCCCGCGCCGCCCCGCCCGCAGAACGCGATCCCGGGCTCGCCTGCGCCCCGCCGTCGCGGCCCGTCGCCTTCCGGCCGCTGACCCCCGCGGCCCCCTTCCCTCCCCCCCACCCCGCCCCACGGGTGCCGCGCGAGTCCCCCGCCTGCCGCCGCCCGGCCTCCGGGCCGGCCAACCGTGGGGAGCGGGGCCCGGCCTCCGCGGACGATGCGCGCCCCTGGCAGGGCGCCCCCGCCGCAGCCGCAGCCGCCTCCCTGGCTCTCAAAGCGTGTGTGTTGGGGGGGGGGCGTGTGCAGAGATTAACGCGTGGCGGCCCGCGCGGCGTGGGTGGGGACTCGCCGAAGCCCGCGTGCCGGCGTGGAGCCTTCTTCTCGGACCTTCCTCAGCTTCATCAGATTCCTAGAGTTTCTGACATATTACCCAGCTCCCCACCCCCGCCCAACACAGAACCGCCCTCTTGCAATTTAGAGATGAAGGCAGGTACCAGAAAACGTTTAACACAGACGTGCATGGGTAATAGGCTCAAAGGCCCGATTTTCATTGCCAAATGTCCCAAGCGGGGAAGAGCAATCAGAAGGCGAGTCTTGCTTTTGGGGAGCGCGTCTAGACGCCAGGCTGTTTGATTAAGCGCTACCTGGCCCGAGGTGGGGCACCGGAAGGCGGTGAGACTGACACACCGGGCAAGATCAGGTTTGAAATGCAAACCGCCGCCACTTGGCCCCAATTAGAGGCCAAACCTTTTATGTAAACAAGGAATAATTAGCTTTGGTAATAGAAGCGTAAACAGAATCATCATCCATTGATTCGCTAATTGCTCTTCTCTCCCTTGACAATGGCCTGTAGGTCAGACAGTCCCAGCATACCTGAGGCCCAGGTAAAGGGGGACCGCACACTGATATGTAGGGGGTCAGTGCCCCCCATCGCCCACACCCCCCCTCATCAGATCCACCTGGCTCTCAGATCCCTTTTCCTTCTGGCTATAAATACAGTTCTTGTAAAAGAAGGGAGGGCCAGGCTCACCAGTTTGGGTGGCAAAACCCCGGGGGGTGGTCGGGAGGGTTCAAGTTGCTGCGGAAAGGGACTGGTGGCTCCCAGGAGACCAGCTGGGGTCATTAAATTCCAGGACACGGCTATTCCTCAGAGGTGTCCATCTTCAGCCCAGAACTCTCCAGCCCCGAAAGTCCCCTTCTTGGGAGCAGTGGCCCCCCTCATCCCTCTCCCCTGGTCATGCTTGAGGTCAAGTTGTGTGAATGCCATTCATTTCAGGCACTAGCTGGTTAGACTGGCAGGTTGCAGGAGGGCGGAAAAGTTACCCGGAGGCCGGCTCGCCCTCTAGCCCCTCCACAGTCTGGGCAGATGCAGCGTGCAGGGGTATGGGGGTCAGCAGAATCTTCTCAATGCAATGCCACCAGCACCTGACAGTTTCCTCAGCTCCAGAATTTTCTATATGGGAGGGACCTAGAGGTGGTGATGCTCTCCACCCCCGCCCCCCACAAAAGCTAGATTTGCATAGCACTTAACACAGTGTTGGGAAAATGTCACAAATGTCCACAACAAAGCCTGCCCCCCTCCACTGTGCAAGCTGGGAGGGGGGTGGGGAGGAAGGCCATGGCCTCCTGTCCTGCCCTAGGATCTCAGGATACAGAGCATCTCCAGGCTGCTCAGCCCCCAGCAGCAAGCACCTGGGAAGGTGTGGCGGCCATGGTGACAGTCTGGGTTGGTCCAGAGAGGGAGCTGACCCACTTTTGTGGAGGCTGCAGGTCCTGACCAGCTTTATGGCCCTCTCCTGGGGACCCCAGGCTGGGAGCTGAGGCACCCCGAGGGGGAAGAGTCACTGTGTCCTCAGGCCCTCCCCCCACCCGCTACCTGGCCCAGAGACAGTACCTTTGTCCAGGACGGGCCCGAAGATGGCCAGGCTGTCGTCTATGGTGGTGCAGTTCCAGCGGCGGCCCCGGAACTGGTGCTGGCACTCCTGGATGCCCAGTTTCACGCCCTCAGCCACGCTGGGCATGATTTCGATATAATTCCGGCAGAAGCGCAGTTGCTTGGGGACCAGGCCTGGGATGGAGCCGCAGAGCAGGGGCTGTGAGCCCAGGGATGTGTACTGCTGGCCCAGGGCCAGGGACCTGCAGGCAGACAGAGGGTGGTGGCACATGGCCCATCAGGGGCCTTTTTTCTTCCTCGTGAGCCCTCTGGGGTAGGTGGAGCCATGCAGGGCCCGTGAGTCAGCCCGAGCCCAGAGCCTCGAGCAGCCCGGCACCTGAGTGCGCTCCCTGCCCTCAGCAATACACTGCCCCTTGAAGGGCAGACCTCTGGTCCAGGCAGTGATGGGGGCATGTCGGACGTGAGCGTGCGGACCCGCAGAAACCTCTTGCGGGGGCACTTGGGGGCCATGCAATACCATGAAAAAAACCCTGGACTGGAAAGGTGGATTTGGGGGCCCAGGTTAAGTCCCTCCTAGGCTCTGGGCCAGTTGCCCTGATGGGCCCTGAAGCAGTTGGGCTGGACAATCTTCTAGGGAGTCTAAGTGTCTGGGGTCACACAGAGACTTCAGTGGCCCATGGGAAATAACCCAAACCTAAAGCGAGGGAGGCGGCAGGAGTTGGCTTGACCCCAGTCCCATCTCAGATGAAGTAGAGAAGCAGAGAAGCCCCAGTCCCAGCGGGGAACTCGTATGTACACGTGTGCCTGAGGTTTTCGCGCACACGCGCACGCATGCACACACACACACACACACACACACTGCCCATGGCAGTGTCCCTGAGCCTCCTCCCCAGGATGCTGCCTGCCCAGCCAATAGCTCCCCAGCGCCTCCTCAGGGAACTGGTGGCTTCTACTAGGTCCTATGTCTTTTGTCCCCCAGGGCCTCCATGACCATCTTGGCAGCTTCCTAGAAGTTTCTAGGTGCTGTCTTCCCTCTCACCAGAGACTGGAGCTTGGCTTTGTGTCAATGACAAGTGTAGCTCAGTGTCAGGAGGGAGAAGATCCCAGATCATACCCTCCCAGCCAACACTCATGACCTTAGTCAAGTCACCTTACTCTTCTAACCCTCATTTCTCAATCAATATCCTGTCAACCTCTCAGCTTTTATAAAGAGTCAACAGAAGGGAAGGTCTTGTGAGGAGCGAGGAACAAGAGTTTAAAATACTAGAAAGCCAAGGTGCTGTTCTTCCCCTCTCTCCCCCGGGACTAGAACAGCAGGGATGACATTTTGCGGGAGAAACAGAAAATGATCTGTGGGTCTCAGTGGACTCGAAGGCCAGTAGCAATCAGCCCTGTGATCAGGGACAGTGTGAGCTGGAAGAAGGGTTGCATGGGGGTCCATCTCCTCCCCCTTCACATCCAGCACTGACCCAAGGCTCCAGTCTGGCAGTGACCTCAGTCGGGTCCCCATCACAAAATCATGACAGAAGCCTTGGGCAGAGGGACCAGAAGACCCCAAATGCAGATCGGGAAAACACACACACACACACACACACACACGCAGGCTTCCTGGACCAGACATAGGGCTGAACTAAACGTCTGCCATTTATCAGCTCTTATTCTGTGCCGGCTGCTTTACCTGTGGCATTTCTGATCACTTCTCCAAGGTTGGAGAACATCACTACCCCCCAGATGAGGAAGGCGAGGTTTAGGAAGTAAGTTAGCTTGCTCAAGGCTTTTTGATGCCAGGCCTGCGGCAGAGCACAGCATGCTCACCGGGCTGAGCCTTTTCCTTGGGTTTGCTTCGTGGAATCCTTATAACAACTGTATGATACGGAAGGGCCTTTACAGCGGCCCTGTTTTGGGGTGGCGCAGCCTTGTATACTGAGCACCCAGCCCAGACCACAGAGCTGCTAAGGAGTTGCTCATTGGATCCCAGGCCATCTGACTCCAGAGCCTGGGGGCCAAACCACTGTGCCGCCTGCCTTCTGGGCAATGCCCGCTTGGGGCCTGAGGCAGGGGGGTGGCGTGAGGGGCTGGCTGTAGGCCTGGCCCATCTGTGCCCTGAGCCTCACCGCAGATCCCATGAGTGGAACAGAGTGGGTCAGCCCAGAGCCCCCTGATGGGCACATGGCACGCAGCCCCTGATGGGGCCCTGCAGCCTGTTCTCCCCTGCTCCCACCCTGGTTACGGTTATAAACAGCTTATCACGAGAATAATGATATTCAAATATCTATCACTGATTATATGCAGTTCTAAGCGCTCATGTCTCTCGCCTTATGTAATCCTCATTACAGCAAGTCTATGAGGTAGGAACTTCATTATCATCATTATCCCATTTCCTAGACTAGGAAACTAAGGCCAGGAAGCTAAGTAACCCGCCCCAGTCTGCAGGACTGCACAGTGTCAGAGTTGAGCCTCCCTCCCCGTTCAGGCTGCCTCCCCATGTGCTCTTTTCTTTCTTTCCTTTTTTTTTTTTTTAAGATTTTTAATTATTTATTTGAGAGAAAGAGAGCACAGGTGGGGAGGAGAGGGAGAAGTAGGCTCCCCACTGAGCAGGGAGCCTGACATGGGGCTCAATCCCAAGACCCTGGGATCATGACCTGAGCTGAAGGCAGATGCTCAACCGACTGAGCCCCCCAGGCGCCCCTCCCCACGTGATCTTAACCCGCACCTGCAGCCCTGCCCTGCCCTGCCCGCCGCCCCAGCAGCTCTACAATCCCTGCAGCAGGAGCCGGGCCCAGGGCTCGGGGTGGAGAGTCAGCGCAGCGCCGAGCGGGCGGCGCAGGAGCAAGGCTCCCCTGGGAAGAAGCCCAGGCCTTCCCCACTTCCTCCTCTGACATTTAGGACCTGAAGCCCCAGATGAAGAGAACAATTGGAGAGGGGAGCTGAGACCCGATAGGGGGGCTTCTGCCACCCCTGGAACCGCACCTTGATTTGGTCTGAATGGGGTGGTGATTCCTGGCCACCTCCCCATGCCCTGGTCTGGCCCCTGCCTGTCCCAGAGCAGCATGGGAAGACCTGGCAGCCACTTCCCAGCCTCAGAGTCCCTCCCCTTTGGCCAGAGCCGTTCTCCCCAGTGTCCCCATCACAGGCACCTTGGTCCATGCCCGGGTCCGGAGGTGTGGACTGCCCCTGTGGTGGCCACGCTGGCCATCAGCTTGGCCACCTGCCCCCACGACACACTCTGATCTGGGCCGGTCTGCTCCACAGTCACTTCTGGCACCAGGGACCCTGTCCTATGTTCCCATGTCACCCTCCCATTATTGGTCTGCTCACCAGCCAAGGCCCCGAGTGCCCCAAGGCTCCAGCCTCCTTTTGCCCAGAGATGGGCATCCTCCATCACTTTCCTCCTTCCTAGCTCTCTCCTAGCCCCTCAGCAGGCCCAGGCCCCCTCAAGCTAAGCTGGGCCCCGGACTAGAATTAGAACCTATGAGAGGAGCCCTAAGAGAATGCAAAGCCCATTTATACAGATGAAAAAACGAGCGGCCCAAAGAAAGAGGCGGCTGGCCCACGGCTGCACAGCCAGAACCACGGAGCCCGGTCGGGCCGCTCCCCACAGCAGAGAAGGGACCCCGAGGAGTGGGGAGGCCCCCGCTGGCTCTTCATTTCCGCTTGGTGACACCGCTTCTCGTCCCCACCCTCCAAAGGGGCTCCCGCTCCCTGGTTTCACCACCTCCCTTCCCCAGGGTCCAAGGTGGGCCTCCGCAGCCCGGCAGAACCCCCGAGCCCCGGGCACCGGCCTGCCGCAGAGGCCAGAGTTGCTCCCCAAACTTCCCCCAGCAGGGAGAGGCCTCGTTCCCTGCCCCGCCTCTGAAGGACACCAAGTCCTTCCTGCTGGACGACTGTGGTCTCTCCTCCAGCCCAAGCACATTCTGTCTTGCCCTCCGCAGTCACGTGCAATGCCAGCCATCACGACGGCACCCGTTTCTTCCGCACGTCTGTGCCCGGCACATCACATACATCACCTCATTAGATCTTCACAACAGCTCCGGGGGGTGGGCGTTGCCGCCCCCATTTTACAGAGGGGGAAACCGAGGCTCAGAGAAGCTGGGCAACTTACACAGGGAAGTGGCTGAGCCAGAATTCCACGCTGGGTTTGTCGGACTCCGAGTATGACGCCCTCTGAAAACAACTCTGCGCCGCAGAGATGATGAGTTCTTTTTTTTTTTTCTTTTAAAGATTTTTTATTTATTTATTTGAGAGAGAGCGAGAGAGCAGGAACAGGAGCAGAGGGAGAAGCAGACTCCCCATTAAGTGGGGAGCCCGACACGGGGCTCGATCCCAGGACCCCGAGATCATGACCTGAGCCGAAGGCAGACGCTTCACCGACTGAGCCCCCCAGGCGCCCCCAGAAATGATGAGTTCTTTCCCTTCTGCCAAACCCGGGCTCCTCCCTGCTGCCCAGGGGCCAACCCCGTGTGCACCCCAGAGCCAGGCTGCCCGGTGCAGACCCAGCTCTGCTGTTTCCTAACTACTGATCTCAAACAATTCACTCAGCCTTTCCCTGCCTCAGTTTCCTCACCTGTAAAATAGACATAATAAGAGGAAGGAATGATAAAAAGCACCGAGCACATAGGAAGCCCTGTATTTAGGGGCTGTCCCCAGCACTTTGTCCCCTGTCCGGTCAGCAAACTCCTGCCTCCTGCCCTCCCATTCCTGACTTGATAGAACACGTCAGAATTTCCAGAACCCCTTCCCATCCATTACTGGGAAGGATGCCTTGGATCAGAGCAAAGTTGGCCCCTTCCCTGGCAGCTCAGTCCTAACTGGGGTGGCTGGATGCGGACATTTGTGACCTGGCTCAGTGTTAAAGGTAACCCAAAGGGCAAGGGCAGGGGGACGTTACCAGAATGCTCCATTCAAGGGTTTCAGCTCAGATCTGGACATCCTGCTGGTCACGGGCAAGTCCGCCTGGGGATGGGGGCAATGGGCTGGGGATGGGGCTAATGATGCCTTGGCCGTGGGATTGATTGCTGCGGGATAGCTGCCCTCCCCCACACATGGCCTGGCACCGCTGACCCTGAGCCTCCTCCCCACACAGTGCTCAGGACTGGAATTCCACCGCCACAGATGCATCAGTTTCACCCACAGCTCCTTGTCCCCACTATGAAGCGCGTGCCCCCCCGGTGGGGGGGGGTCACACCGTGAGCCTCATTCCCCTTCACTCTTCCTCCCAGAGTACAAGGAGCTCGGGGTGCTC